TACGTTGTTGCAAATGGCAGGATTTCCTTCTTTTTATGGCTGAATAATATTCCATTGTGTGTGTATGTGTGTATGTGTATGTGTATACATACACACATACCACATTTTATCCATTTGTCCACTGATGAACACTTAGATTGTTTCCATATCTTGGCTATTGTAACTAATGCTGCAATGAACATGAAGGTACAGATGTCTTTTTGAGACAGTGATTTTGGTTTCTTCAGATCAATACCCAGAAGTGGGATTGCTGGATCATATGGTAGTTCCACATTTTAAATTGTTGAGAAATCTCCATACATAATGCCTACATTTTCACCAGCAGTGCACAAGGATTTTCTTTTCTCCACATCCCCACCAACACTTCTTATCTCTTGTTTTTTGTTTTGTTTTGTTTTGTTTTGATTCTAGCCATTCTAATAGATGTGAAGTGATATATTTTATTGTGGGTTTGATTTGCATTTCACTGATGATTAATGATGTTAAGTACCTTTGCATGTACCTGCTGGCCATTTGTATGTCTTCTTGGGAAAAAATATCTATTCAGTTCCTCTATCCCTTTTTAAAAGCAGATTGTTTTCTTTTGCTGTGGAGCTGTATGAGTTCTTTACGTATTTTGGATATTAACCTCTTATCAGACACATGATCTGCACCTATTTTCTCCCACTCCATGGGTTGCCTTTTCGTTTTGTTAATGGTTTTCTTTGCTGTGCAGATTTTTATTTGATGTGTGGTCCCATTTGTTTACTGTGCTTTTGTTGCCTTTGCTTTGCTAATGAATCAAAATATCATTGCCAAAACCAATGGCAAAGAGCTTATCCCTATATTTTCTTCTAGAAGTTTTATGCTTTCAGGTCTCACGTTTAAGTCTTTAATCCACTTTGAGTTGATTTTTGTGTATGGTGTAAGATAGTAGCCCAGCTTCATTTATTTTTTTTTGCGTATGGTTGTCCAGTTTTCCCAGCATCATTTATTGAAGAGACCAGCCTTTTCCCATTGTATATTCTTGGTTCCTGTTTCATAAATTAATTGACCATAGAGGCATGGGTTTATTTATGGGCTCTCTCTTGTCCCATTGATCTATGTGTCCATTTTTAATGCCAATACTATTGATTACTATAGCTTTTTAATGCCAATACTATTGATTACTATAGCTTCATAATATAGTTTGAAATCAGGAAGTGTGATGCTTCTGGCTTTGTTGTTTTTTCTTGCTTTTTCTCAAATTTGCTTTGGCTATTCAGGGGCTTTTGAGATTCCATACAAACTTCAGGATTGTTTGTTCTATTCTTGTGAAAAAGGCTATTGGACTTTTGATAGGGATTGCATTGAATCTGCAGATAGCTTTGGGTAGTATGAACATTTTTAACAATATTAATTCTTCCAATCCATGAGTGTGTAATACCTTTTCATTTATTTGTATATTCTTTAATTCCTTCATCAATGTAATGATTTATAGTGTCTTTAACTTCTTGGTTAAATTTATTCCTACATATTTTATTATTTTTGATGCAATTGTGAATGAGATTGTTTTCTTAATTCTTCTTTCTGATAGTTCATTATTAGTGTATAGAAATGTAACTGATTTTTGTATATTGATTTGAATTCTGCAATTTCACTGAATTCATGTATTAGTTCTAACACTTTTGTGTGTATGTAATCTTCAGGGTTTTCTATATATAATATCATGTCATCTGCCAATAAAGACAGTTTTATTTCTTCCTTTCTAATTCATTTATTTATTTTGTTATTTATTATTATTATTTATGCTTACAGCACCTGGTCTTCCTAGGTGATCTCCCATCCAAGTACTAACCAGGCCCGACCCTGCTTAGCTTCCGAGATCAGACATCGGGCTTGTTCAAGGTGGCATGGCCACAGACCATGGACCGTGACTCCACTGGGGCGTGAACCTAGGACCTTCTGCGTGAAGAGCTGACATGCTAACCGCTACACTATGGAACGACGTCCAAACTTCTTCCTTTCTAATTTAAGTGTCTCATTTTTTTTTCTTGCCTAAATATTCAAGTTAGAATTTTCAGTACTATGCTGCATAAAAGTGGCAAGAGTGGACATCCTTGTCTTATTCCTGATCATAGAGGAAAAGCTTTCAGTTGAAATTTCTCATCTTTCTAAAACCTACTTGTTCTCATTTACTTCCTAACTCAGTTAAAAGCCCAACCATATCTAGACACCTATTCTTATCCTTACACACCACCCCACACTTGATGACCTAGTGCCACTGATCCTCCCTCTTCAAAGGCTC